TAGAGGGGGTATGTGGCTATTTTAGAAAATAGGGAAGACTTTGCTGAGGACATGACTGACATTTAGCAAAAACCTAAATAAAGCGAAGCCTTTGTGATGTGAGGGAGCCCTTGTTGCACAGTGGTTAAGCACTCAGCTGCTAACTGAAAGGTTAGTAGTTCAAACCCGCCAGCCACTCCACAGTGGAAAGATGTGGCAGTCTGCTTCTGTAAAGATTACAGCTTTGGAAACCCTGTAGGGCGAATCTGCTCTGTCCTGTAGGGTTGCTGTGAGTTGGAATCGACTCAGGGCAACGGGTTTGTTTTTTGCTTTATATGATGCGAGTCAGCCTTGAGGAGATTTGAGAAAGTACATTCCAGAAGGTGGGAACAGTAAATGCAGAGGCCTTGAGGAAGGAACAGGACCTGTAAGGCCAGAGAAGAGAGAGCAGAGGAGACTCAGGATTCAAATTTATTTTACTTCCATTAATGTGTGTATGTGTGTGTATATATACATATGCACATACACTTAAGTAGTTGCATACATGCACATCCAAACAAAAAATCTCTTGCCCTAAGGTCGATTCTGACTCATAGTGACCCTATAGGATGTAGTAGAACTGCCCCATAGGGTTTCCAAGGAGCAGTTGGTAGATTTGAACTGCTGACCTTTTGGTTAGCAGCTGAGCTCTTAATCACTGCACCACTAGGGCTGCATACATGCACATACATACATACATATGTTTATGGGACATATGTCTCCCTCTGTGAAGCCAACTAAGGTAATGGGATGTGGACAGAGAACTAAAATTCACCTTATTTAATTTCTAGCCATGAAACATTTCTTAATACTTTAGAATGAGTTTATTGTATTTGGTTTTGGTTTGGGAGGTTGATCAGAATTTAAAGAAGCCTTGGTGAGTTTTTCTGTTTTCCTTCATTTAGTTTCCACTTTTGTTAACTGCAATGTGATGGATTGCTTTTATATAACCTTTCTCACTATGATCTGGTAATTACCACTAAATGACTAGATGAGACTATGCAAATGAGGTGCTTGTGGCCCACCAAGGGGATTGGATAGCTTGCTAATAATGCAAATAAGGTGCATGACACCCTTGGGGGTGGGGTGGGGCCATGCAAATAAGGTGTATGGAACATTAATGAGCGGATTGGTCAGTTTTGCTGCCTCACTAGCCTTAAAATAACCCATCCCAGAGGCAGACGGGGGGACCTCATTACCACCAAGAAGAAGAGCTAGGAGTGGAGCTCATCCTTTGGACCCGGTGTCCCTGTGCTAAGAACTTCCTAGACTGAGGAGACAGAGAGAGAGCTATAGTACCGGAGACAGCTCAAGATGAGGAGAAGCAGCAGCAATACAACCAGGAAACCAGTGTGAGATGGCGCAGTGGGTTTCCTGGCCCGTGGAGTAAGGCGGTTACAGTGAGTGTGCCAACCTGTGGAGTGAGAGAGCTGAGCACCTTTGGGCAGGAGGCTTGCTGGCAGAGTGGGGTGCCCCTAGGCACTCGTTGGCAGGGCCAGGCTTGCTACCCATGGAGTGAGAGAGCTGAGTACCTTTGGGCCAAGGCTTGCTGGTAGAGTGGCCTTCCCCTGGGCACTTAATGACAGAGCTAAAAAGCTTTGTAACATTTGCCTGAGCAGGGCAGAGTCTGGGCCAAGGGGTTGAGAGGCCCGCTTTGGGGGCACAGCAGAGAATAGGCTGTCCTGATTGAAGAACTGTATCCTGAGTCATTCCTGATCCTGAATTGTAACCTGTTACTTTCCGAATAAACGCTATAACTGTGAGTATGGTCTGAGTTCTGTGTGGCCATCACAACGAATTATCAAACTCAGCAGAGAAGTAGAAAGTGCTGTGGGAGGGACGGCTGGTGTCAGAATTGTTAAAAAGATTGGAGAGAGGAGGTGTGCCTGACCTCCACCTCATAGGAACCAACCTTGGGCTGTTGATGCTGATAATAATTCTCTCTCCTTCCCCTTGTGAAGTTAGACAAGGAGGTCCGATGCCCCCATGCCACCGTTTTTACAGTTTGTGTCAGAAGTGGGATTTGTTGCAATGGCACCAGACTCACAGAAGCATGAACTTTATAAGAGAAAGAACGAAGGAACATGGGAAGTGAATCTTTTGATTCTTGGATGGTTACTTTGGTTGTGTTGTTTCTGATGGCTGAAAGGAAAGTAAGAGTTGTTACACTATAGCTGAGTAGAGAAAAGTCACATCTGGAGTGGCTTCGGGCAAAAGCCAGGCCAGTTAAACAAGATGATTGTTAGAGGGCCAAGGTCTTCTGATTCTACCCTGCCAGATTCCCAAGGCCATATGCATATGAATGGGAAGATAGTCAAGGGGTGGAGAAGAGAAGATGAAACTGGAATATTTAAAAAAGCTTAGGTGTTTATCAGAATGTACTATGGATATTGAATATTTCTTCTACCTAGTGTTATAAACAGACCTAAATGTATAATGGAAATGAATGTTGGGTTTTATAGATAACAGAAGAGTGTGTAACTCCACCTTCAGCCACTATTTGATTGAATGTGCTAAAAGGGGAACTAGGATTTGCTTGAAAGAAACAACAGGCTGTTGGTTTGAATGCATTAGCCCTGTGTATGGAGTATTGGGGGCTTAGGTAGAAAATCTGAGCCCTACCCAGAATCCTTCCAGTCAGGAAATTTACATTTTAAAAGGCATACAGACCTACCCAGAACTGCTCAGGGAGCAAGAAATTTATGTTTGAAGAAGAACCTGCAGAGGAAAAAAATGACTTTTGCTTTTTGAATTTTTAAATTTTGAGCAAGGCGGGAAAAGTCAGTGCCCATCAGAAAAATCCCCTTCCAGGACTGGAAGTTAAAGGGAGCTAGCCAGTAGACAGCCTGAGGTGACCACCTTGGCCCACGAGATGAGTGGAGGTGGGGGCGATGCAGCAGTGAAGAGATGGACTGAGTTTGGACATGTTCCATTGGCACCCATTGACCTAGCCCACAGAGGCTAGAGATGAGAGAGAAAGAGAGAGAAGGGGCTGGCTGGTCTGAAGCGCAGGGAGGTGTGTGGACTCCCAAGCCTACGGCTGGTACCCATTGACCTAGTGTACAGGGCTAGGGATGAGCTGACCAGAATTAGACTTAATGAAGAGAGAGATGTTTGACACTGTGAGCTGGTATAGAGTGCTGCAATTTGATAGCTTGCTCTGCTCTGGACTTTGCTTATGGATGCAGATGCTCAAAAGTTCCAACTGGAACAGAAGAGTCTTCAGATCAAGGAACATGCTTGTCTTCTCAGAGTACTGGTTTGATAGGGATGGGCAGTTTAGAAATTGGCTATGTAAAATGGCTGATGTCAGAATCGGTAAAAAGGTTGGAGAGAGAGGAGGCATGTCTGACCTGCACCTCATAGGAATCAGCCTTGGGCTGTTGATGGTGATAATAATTCTCTCTCTTGAAAGTTAGGTGAGGAGGTCTGATGCCCCCACGTCACTATTTTTACATTATCCTTGTGTCCAATATTAACTAAGTAACTAGAATCTCTGAAGATTGTGTCTTGCTTTGTTCTTGATAGGAAAACTTAACCACACCATTTTAGCATGGTTTTAAGCCTTTAGAATTCAAATTATAATTCTTCTCTAAGCCAATTCTAGATTGACTTTTTAAAAACATTTTAAAGGTTAGGACAAAAGAAAATCCTGTTTTCAATAACTTTGCTTTCTGATTTCCTCATTTGTTTGAGAAATGGGTTATCAGTTGACTTTTTAAATGTTAGGATTAAACATTCTGTCTCAGTTTCTATCAGAATGAAAACTGATTTATTTAAAGTTGAATCTTTTGAGAATGAGTGCTTTGTATTTGAAAGATAGTATGTTCTACTACAGATCAGAAATCTCCTTTTTTACACAACATGCTGTTTTTTAACTTTACCAGCGGGTTACAATTTCTGCCTGTTAATGATCAGATCTGCTCCACGATTATTTGTTAAGAGCATTGTGCTGAGTGCTTTGAGGCCAGAAAGAAGGCTCCTTTACATTTGCCTACTGCTTGATAGTTCATCAGGCTCATCTTCATAGTAACCCCATGAGGACTTGTCCCTTCTGACAGATAAGTAAATGGAGGCTTCACATTGAAGAGTTCGTCTAAGGTCATTCAGTTAGTAGAACTTGGACTTGAACTTAGGTCTTCTGACTCCAAGCTCAGCACTCTTCTCTCTGGGATCTCACAGTTTGGCTTTTGAGATAGATATAATTGTTATAGAACAAAGTTGGACAGAGCAAGTGCCCCAGGGCCTTCAGAGAAGGCAGAATGCATCTGGTAGGGGAGAGTTACTGTAGCTGGTTTGGCAGAATGGAAGGCCATGTGCTAACCTTAGAGATATGGAATGAGCAAGTGGAAGTAAGTTTGTAGGGGTGAAAGAGCAAGAGATGGGGCCCTCTGCAGACTGACCTGTTGAGAGAGGAAGTGGCTACTGTAGATTGTTGGGTTCTGAGATTGGATGATCTTGAGTGCAGGTGGAGCCAAACAGATTTAACCTGATGTTGACTAAGTGTGAAGGTACATTTGGAGTGAGTGAAAGGAAGCAACTGAGGAAGAAATCTAAGGACTGTTACAAAGAAGTTACTGACATTGCTTGACTGGAGCTGTTAAAAGCGAGTACCTGAAATTGATGGTAAGATTTTGAGACAGGGGCCTAGGATTGTACCTTCAATAGCAGGTGGAAAGAAGAACTTATGTAGGGAGAGAGAAGGACGTTTCAGCTCTGAAGTGCCCCCATATGACCGCTGTGCCATCTTGTGAAAGCTGCTGCAACTCCATGCCTTCTCCCGTTTGTTGTCCAAGTGGAGGGAAAGGTCAACCCCCACCTTTAGCCTTTCTCATGTGGTTAGGCTTTTTAAAAAAAAAGAAATGCAACAAAATGCTTTAGCTATCAAATTATACTGGCATGTCTTTCTCTTTTCAAAATATCCTGTATTGCACAGTTGCCGGTGATGCGTCAGTTACCTCATTCTGCTCTTGTGCCTGCAGCCTGGAGTACTTGGGTACTTTGAGTTCAGTGGCTCACCCCAGCCCCCTGGCTATTTGACCTTCTTCACATCAGCACTGCATTCATTAAAGAAAGGTAAACATGATTCCTATTAAGACATTTTAACAGAAATGTATTTATATTGACATTCTTTTGCATATGTTATAATTGTGATTCTGTTTTTTAAAGTTGATTTGCTTGGTTGCTTTTCTCAGTGTATTTATAATAAGTAATTACATAGTTTTATGTTCCATCAGTAGCAAACAGAAAGTACTGTTGTATTATTTCAAATATAGTCTCTTAAATATTTAGCTTTTTAAAAATGTAGCTTGATCATACTGTGTCTATAGTTTTACATTTTGTATTTTAAAATTCATTATACCATAATCATTTTTTTTCATAGAGTTACAAGCTCTGAGCATAGTTTTTAGTGATTATGTAATCTGTCAGTTGGATACCATACTTTAGCAATACGTTTTCTTTGAGGAGTATTTTTACAAGTAAAGAAGTCATGCCACAATACCAGCATATTTAGAAAATAGAAATTACTTGTAAAGTCTGCTGCCAGTTTCAGTATTCTCAAATGCATATTTTTCTATTTAGTTGAATCATATATCATTTGAGGTCTGACTTTCTAAATTAAACATTGTATCATACTCAGTTTTTCTGCTTCTCCATGATCTTTCTCTCTGTCAGTTACTACTTCCAGGTCCTGTTGGATATGTTTTATTCTATTCACTTGTCTCCATCTCCTTTGTTACCACTATGGTGTAAGCCCCCGTCACCCCACATCTGGACTATACCACCAAAGAAACCAAACCTGTTGCTGTTGAATCGATCCCAGCTCATAGCAACCCTACAGGACAGAGTAGAAGGGCCCCACAGGGTTTCCAAGGAGCGGTTGGTAGATTTGAACTGCCGACCTTTTGGTTAACAGCCACTGCACCACCAGGGCCCTGGACTATACCAGTATCCACTCTCACCCCATTTCAAGCCAGTTTAAGAGCGATAGTCATAAATTATAAATCCCAGCTCACATCACTCCTCTGCCTTACAATCTTCAGTGGCAGCCCACTGCATGTAGGAAAAACTCCAGAATTATAACATCGCCTCTGACCTCTCTCACCTCACCTCCTCACTGGCCCTCGTGCTCCCTGGGCTCTGGCTCCACTGGATTCGAGCTGGCCAGGTCTTCCTCACACTAGGCCCTTTGCGGATGCTACTCCTTCTGCCTGGAATGTTTCCCCCCGCTCCCTAGTCTCTAGGGCCCAGCTTTCCACCTGTCAGACCCCTATTCATCCTTCAGGGCCGAGCTTCATTATCACTTTGACAATCTAAATAACTGACCCCCTCCCCTAATCTAAACTTGGTATGACACGATTTGTTTAACATCTGTCTTCTTGCAGACTGTGAGGTTTTTGAGGGTAGGGACTGTGTCTTCAGCTTAGTGCTTTCTCTGCAGTGCCTGGTACATAGCAGGGGCTCAATCAGTATTTGCCAAATGAGTGATGAAATAAATGGCCATGTAATCTTTCCCGCAGTAGATCAACCAAAAGTATGTAACCATCTTTCTGTTACTGGATATCAGATGACTTCTTTTGTTACTGGATATTACCGTATTTTTATGCAGATAAGATATGTGCCCTGCATTTGTTTGCCAACCACATCCTCCCCCTGCGAGGTATTTTCCTAAGTGCACTATGCTAAATTTTTTTATAGCCAGGACATGTTAAAAAAAACTGACACAGCGTCCTTACCAAAATACCTTATGTGGGGAGGGCATGGTTGGCAAAAAATTGTAGAACGTGTGCGTTATTTGCGTACAATACAGTAGATTAGATTTTTTTGTTGTTGATTTTTTGTTTTGTTTTTGCTGTTATAACTGTATGCCATTAATACATCAAACAATTTGAAGACTGGTCATTTTAATATATATGTTGTCTTAACATTTTATGCATAGAGAATCTACTATGTTCAGGTTTTTCGCCTGTGGGGGAGATTAGGGGAGGAAATCAAGTTGTCACATAAATATGTCATCTGTCCACTTGAAAGACTTTGAGCTTCAAGTGATTAAGAAGACTTAGAGAATCAAAGTTTGAACTTTGAAAACAAAATACTGCCTACATAAATAAGCTTAAGAAGCAGACATTCAAAGCTCCTTATGGAAAATTAAATAAAGCCCTTCAAAGAGATCTCAACTGAAGATTTATATATAAAAGAGTGACCTAGAGCCTTTCACCGAAATGATGGCAGCATTCAGTTTCCTTCATTGAAGAGGGTATTTCAAGATCTTGGAGGGATGTTTTATTATCTCGTTAGCTCAATTGTGTGCTGCTCTGCCATGTAGTAAGAAATAAATCGTTCACCTTAAATTATGTTTTTATTCAGAGTTTTCCAACGTTTTGTTTCTTTTGTGAAAAATCTTTCCAACTATAAGACAATATCTTTTTCTTTTGTTTCCTTCTTTTTTTTAAGCTAAGGAAGGTGTTAAATGGGTAAAAATTCCTTGCGAGTACAGAATGAATCTCCTTGGTTAAATTCCTAATTTTGACAAATGAATACATGAGCATTCTCAGAATTACTACATTTCTTCCCTACATTTCTTGTTGGGCCTTGTAAAATTCTGTTGCATATGCAAGTTTGCAGGAGCTGAGATTCATCCTAAGTAATCCTTATACCCCATTTTTGTGGGTAAGTGCCCACTTAAGCATTGATACGAACCAGGGAAAATTTGGAATGTTGATTTTCTATGAAGGATTTTGCCTTGGGTATCTGGGGTTTTTTTCCCCTTCTTTTCCTGATTCTTCCTTCTACCCTGAAGTCATAAGATACTTTACTTATCGTTAGTAGCAGATGTGTGGTAAGAGAAAACGTGTGAACCCTCCTTTTTTAATGGTACAGTTTCAGATGTAAATTGTAGGTCAGTGTCGTGTTTAGAACGTGTACACAAATCGAGGCCTGAGAAACATTTGACACACTTAACGTTTAGTTGTAGAGAGCTTAACTGGAGAAGTGTTTAGACTGTCGTGGTAGAAAGCAGATGTCCTGGTTCAACAAACTACAAATGTTTATAAAATGCACACCTTCCCATCTCCTTAATGATTTTTTTTTTTTAAATTGTCTTAGAAAAAGCCAGGACGTTTTCTGAGTTCTACATTTGTTTCTTGAAGGTAGCTGGCCATCAGTCCACAAATATTTTGAGACTGTACCATGTGTCAGACATCCTGACTAGGAGCTGGTGGAGCATGCTAAGAGGAAAACTCATTCCTTGCCCTCAGGGATCTTGGGGCTTAGTTGTAAGATCTGGTGCTGTGGTACTTTGCCACTCCCTTGAAAGAATATTTGTCTAGTGTTTGATATTTTTAAGCATTTTAGTAGGGAAATAGGGAAAGTTGACTACCACCTTAGCACCATAACATTAACTACTTTCTCTTTTTTTAACTATTTCCTTTCGTCTCTGGTAGCCATGTCTTTTACCTATTGATCTCAGCCTTAGTGCTGGTCTGTCAGTTTATGTAGGCTGGCCTGTTAGGTGGTATGAGCAGTAACCCTGCTGTATTTCTTCCATTGTTGTCCTAGCCTTTTGACTTAAACATCATTTAAAAAACTGTATTTTATTATTTTTATCTTTAATACTTGTCATCTTAGAGTGTAAATATTAAATAATAATAAATTTCTAAGAATACAGTTCAACTACATCTCAGAATTGATCTGTTCTCTAGTTTAAAAAATTTTATTTTAAACTCATAAATATTTAGTTTAAAAAGTTGCTTTACGTATAAGTTGTGACTGTTGGGAATACAACTCTGGCAAAGACTGTTGTTCTTGATGTCTAAATGTCTCATTGCTAAGCTGCACATATTACCAAATTGCAAAACAGTATTTATACTATGTAGAAAATAATGAAATAGTATCAGTTTTTTTAAATGTGATCGTATATTTTCATCTATATAGTTGAGTCTTGTTCTTCTTCTTGATTTTATCTTTTTCTAAAAATTGGATCAATAATTAGTTTATCTTCTTCTTTGAAATTTTAAAAACTATTTAGCACTTTACCTAGAATTTTCTTGGGCTTACAATATAGAGCACAGTTGATTTTTTAGCCTCTTCTTATTGGCTAATGAGCACCGTTTACAAAAGATGCTTTCTTTTTCCCTCATCTTGATGATGCCTGCTTTATCACAAAATACGTTCTTCCATGAAGTTGGGTTTATTTCTGCCTTTTCTCTTGGTCTAGAGATCTATTTTTTTATGAGTAAATGGAATTTCATTTCTTGCTTTGTAAGTTGTTACTATGTGGTAAACTCTGGATCTGCTTCCCCTAGTTCTTGTGTTTTGTGGAATATTCTTTTATATACATCCACACCTTTTGATGGATTTTGGTTGGAATTATATTAAATGTGTAATTTGACTTGGAGATAACCGGTATGTTCTTAACATGTAACTTCCCTTTCTAGAATCACAGTGTGATTATTCATTTATTCAGACCTTTTAAATTTTTTATAATAGGTCTCACACATCTCTGTCTTCAGCGTTTAATCGTTATGCAGTATTGAATGATTAATTGTGGACCAGCAGTCTTTGTGTATGTTTCAAGAGCCTGAAGGAAACCAGCTCTCTTGAACGTCTGTACTCTTCCCAGACAGCAAAGCCTACTCCTCTTTGAACCATTTCACATTTGATCTTGGCAGACTTCAGGTTTCTTCTTTGGCCTAAAGAAAATTTGGTAGAGGGGTCAGTATTTTTAAGTTGCTTGCTTGTTTTCTTCTTCTTCTTGTTTTGTGATTATGTTATTAACTGTAAAAATATGTTCTAGTAAAATGTTATATTGTGCTGTGAGTCAGTCAGAAAATATTTGCGGCACATTTTGATCCTATTTATCATCTGACCTACAAAAGAAATACAGTGTAGTCTGGAGGGAAAAGCAGTGGCATGGGAGCCAGTAGTGTCTGGTCCTTACCCTTTGCCTGCTCCTGGTGGGATCTGTAAACTTAAACCAGTTATTTAATTTTTCCATGTTTCAGTTTGTCTATATAATTGAGAAGGGTGACGTGCTTGTTTTATAAAGCCACATTTCATGTGCAAAATATTTCATG